TTTTTTTTTCAGTGTGAATGCCAAGGTCCAGCTAGAAGATATGCTCAACTGTGTAAAGCAACTTGTGTCATGAAGATCAGGGACTATTTCCTGTGTCTTCTGATGTGTGGAGATTCTGTCACAGATGAGCTGTAGTTAGACATGAGCTTTGAGTTGTCACTTGAGTTGATTTCTTATGGAGATGGGTTATACATGTTCACTCATATTCACTTACTTAATTGCCATAATGAAAATGTCATGGTTTTCAGATGATTGGCCAAGGGTCTAAGATGAAGCCACAAAGTAAGTGAATAGCTAAATATGGCCCACAATTCTTAGCCTTATAAGAGACATGTAGAACAATATATGTGATAGTTAAATAAACAAATAAAACTGAGGTCAAAATCTTTTCGACTGCAATAGTATTTGATGAATGCAAGAGAAATTAGGCAGAAGAAATGATAACATGCTGGTCTCAGCAGTCTATATTATAAGGCTTTCTAATTTTTTGGTGTCCTAAACAGGTATGTTTGGGTTTTAAACATACCACATATTACCTGAAAACATTTGCTACAATGCAGCATCACACAGGGATAAGTCTTGGACCTACCTTATCTTCTCAGAGAACCAAGAGATGATGTGCAAAAGTGACACGTTCAAGTCTGTATTAGAAACTTTTGTATAGTGACAACAACAGTGACAGCTCATGGAAGTCTGGCACATAGGCTTGTCACCTTTTTATGATGCCACCGTAATAGTTTGTGAAGTTAGGAATGTATGACATATTGAGAGTGTTAGAGGGTGGAAAATGAGATAGTCTTTATTCTCGTCTTGATGCAGTTACTGAAGACTCTGAGTCCTCACTCCTGGTTCTGATTTTCTTTCTCCCTTCTAATTCTCCTAAGTCTCAAAATGACATGTGTATTTATACCTATAATTAAAAAATCTTAGGGTGTATGATTCTCCCAATTCCATACCTCTCCAAATAATTAAAATAGATGGACAGAATTTTATTCATGAGATTTTGACTGTGTTTTTCTGATTTTTAAACAACTCTTTCTAGAAAGTAGGATTTCTATATGAAATGCACCCACTAGGAATATTCTGGGAGGTATCTAATATGTTTTAGGTTCTTGGAATATGTTCTTCTTTGGTGGTAAATTGGCTTTATATCAGTGTCTCTGGAAAGTTAAGAATTTACTCTCTTCCCGCATCTCTGTCTCATTTGGTACTCTTGGTAAAAAGGAGATGCCAGAGGCATGTTGCCTCTTCTGATGAATGAAGCCAGTGTCAGCCACATTTATGTGGGTCTCAATTCTGTTTTGTGTTTGCTCTGTAATGATAGCTGGATGGCCCTTGCTTCTCAGATTGGTGTTTGGGGAACATCTGCTTAGAAGAGGTAACAAGGGCCAGATTACAGTCATGCCTAAAGCAAACCTGTTTCAACAGGCTGCTTCTTTCTTTGTACAAATGTAAAAAGAATGGCCCTCATGCAAACATTTCACACCCAGAGACAAATCTGAAAAAAAATTGCTGCAACATGTTTGCTGATTTCCTGCCAAGTCAGCCACTGCAGACTTTTCTTGATCAACTGTTACAAAGAAAACTAGAGTGGGTAGGAGGAAGCATGTAGCTTTGTTATCACAAACTAAACTCATGTTGCTCTAAAATTCCTCTCCCTCTTACAGTTTTTTCTTCTAGGGCTAACTCTCTTCCCTGTCTCCTGCCTTTCTGCTCCCCTCCCTCTTCTAACCATCCTTGGTGATATACTCCATTGCTCTAATGTATTCATTTTGACTTTTAGTACTGATACAATGATGGGTTCTGAAGAAATAGCTTTCTGAAGATCTATTCAGATATGCAGATTCAAACCCGCAGAAAGGTTAAAAATATTTTCAAAATATGCTTGTCAACAGTGGAAAGAAAGCTGTTTGTAGCCAGCAGGTGAGCTGGAGAGTACTACAGGGTGTGGTAGAGACAGTCATAAATTAACTGGCAAGCCAGAAACCATGTAAAAAGCCGACTATTTCACGGCACAGTGGCATGACAGCTATGGAGAAGGAGTGCCCTGGGGAATTCTTTCAGAGTTTGATTTTTTAAAATATGTTTGACATGAAAAATGTTTTAGTACAAATAAAGCCACTGGTATTAAACTTCTAGGGAGGGGGTTGTGGTGTAGAGTTGCATGAATAATGCATGACATTTAAAGAAAGAACAGCTTTAAAATGTTTGGGGAGGAGGTCTGTGTTGATGGGTGGAATGTTTTTTCCTCCTCTATTTTTGAAACATCATTAATTCAGTATCATTTGTAGATTTTTTTTAAAGCTGATAAGATATCTACCAAAAAAATTACCATTTGGCTTAGATCAAGATATTTTTCTTCAGATAATTTAGTTTAAGTATCAAGAAGATCAGTAGACTTATTTAAGCATAAAGTGATAGTCATTTACTTTAAAAATAATTTTGCCTAGTTATCTTTTTTAAAAAGCTCATAGAGTTGGGCCGACAAAAATCAACCTCATGGAAGGGGAAAAACAAGATCAGATATTTTGAACATTACTCCATAGGAGACCGGCACAATATGGCGTTAGCGAGTGCATTGTAGCAGCACTCCGTTTGCAATCAGAAGCCAATTGTTACTGGACTGTGTACAGGCGCACACTGTGCTCAATGGTCTGATGAGGTATTATGGATATGATGCAAAGAGACCGTGCAGATCAGAAGCTAACAATTTGTTAAAAGTGAAAGCAACTTAACATTTACATTGGGCCAGCTGAGCAGCGCTTTACATGGCAAAGCAGGGTGAGTTCCAAGGAGCCGGGCACCAGGCAAGCTGCAGGTATCAGCACCACGCGGGCAGAAAACAAGAGTTTCTCTTGCTTTCTATTTGACAACCCTAGCGCCTGGGATTCTTCCTGCAATGTCTCTTCATTATTGCATTCAGCATTCAGTGTGGAAAAGTTAATGCAAAATAGCATGATTATTATAAATGTCAAAAATGTGGGGGGAACATCCTATTAAAATATAGCCTAGAGATAGTACATAACACTGACTTTAAATAAGTAGTTGGAGCCAGAGTGCTACTACATTAAATCACTGATATTGTGTGATTCATCCACAAATATTAATTTTTAGTCCACTTACCATCATTCCAATATGTCCCTCATCCCTTCCTCTTGGCTCTTTGGGTCTCTGGCTATGGCTTGTGTTCTCAGGTCGCAGGAGAGATTTCGATCTTCTAGGCAGGTGTTGGCTTGGGCTTGATGCCCCATACTACAAAGCATAAAGAGCACTTGCTCCCAGCTTTTCAGTGCAGAAGTCCGTGAAAAATGTGTAGTTACTTAATTCATCACCAGAAATGATTCAATCGGTGCCTGCACTAGGCTTCACTACTCTAGTACTAAAGGTTAAGCTAAAAGACACAGATTTCTACTGCCACTGACGTGCCAGGATTTCAGAGTACCAACAGATGAGATTAGGCACATTCAAGGGGAGATTTAAAAACATATTTTTGTTTATGAAATAAAATTTAGCATTATGGCCAGTCATTAGCAAATAGTTTTTTTTTTTCCTTTTTTCTTTTCTTTTCTTTCTTTCTTTCTTTTTTTTTTTTTTTTTGAACTGTGACACTCCATTTTACATACCAAGCCCAAACTTTCTGTTTCTCTAAGAGAAAAGCCTCTTTTCACAGTGTGCCTAGTGTCAGCCTGGCTTTAAGATTTTTTTCCTCTTAAAAAAAATGATGTATTACAAGATTTGTAGTAGAGTGAACATGCTTGAATTGCACATTTACTTTTTTTCAACATCACATTCATGTTTTGCCAGTTTGCCTACCAGCTATCTGTTAACAAAAAGTTCCAAGGCGGCAGCGCAAGCCCGTGCCCAACTAAGCCTTTTGTTTCTGCAGATGTTTGGGCTTAGGGCAGTGTTGTAAAGCTTGGGCGATCCAAGGACCATGTTTATACTTGTCTGCTGCGATTCCCTGTGCATTGTCTGAACCTGTGCGTATTGTTCTTTCCGACAGGTGATAACTACCCCGTACAGTTCATTCCGTCAACAATGGCAGCTGCTGCTGCTTCTGGACTCAGCCCTTTACAGCTCCAGGTAAGTGCCAGGAGGGAAAAAGTGTGGGAGAGGGGCCAGTGCTTTAGTGGAAACCTGCAGTCAGGCTGTATTCTAAATAATGGCATGAATGTTAAATAATATTTAAGCATCGCCCAGAGAATTAACACCTTATGTACGTAGCATACTGAAAACGGAAGAGAAAAGTGCCAGTTCCAGCCATGTTTAAAGGAAACCCAATGTCACTGTGAAACTCGATTTGGTACTGTGTGCTCTCTTTTGGCAAGTTAACAGTTTTACATTGTTTAAGGGTAGTTGTTATTGGATGTGTTAGCTCTTTCCTTATCAACATTTCCATTATACACAAATATACAGATTGGCTTTTCTACCATCAGCTTCAGATCAGAGACAATGCTGGGCCTTTTCCTTTTTGCAGTTCATGGAATAAGGGGACATTATTCCTAGTTACTTTGATTATTTAGCAAAATATAAACACATTGCTCCAGAGTCTATTGTATGACCTTGTTCTTGACAGGGTTAAAGGTCTAGGCATGGTGCCCAGCTCAGTTCTGGATTAGCGTCTCTTGTTTATCAAGCTAGTCATGTTTGGAACCTGACTGAAAATTATTTGCACCTTCTGTTCCTCATAGTAAAATGAAGTATTTAGAATAGGACTGGGTGGCCTTTGCACACTTCTAACACCAGTACCCTCGCTAGAGCCATGAGTTGACTTTAAATATAAAATTCAGTGGTAAAAACAAAAACAGTAAAAGTTTAGCATTAAAATAGTTAGAAATACTTGATAAATTAAATTTCCATACAGGTCAAAGTTCTTTAAGGATACTTTTTATTTGACTGCTCCTTTTGATTCTAGGGAAAAGCTCATGGACAGATAGTATTTTTGTGTAGCTATTGCTGTGAGACTTGAACAGAGAAAGTGCGCCACTGTTGTACCCAAACAACGATGACAAATAAACACCCCCACCACCACTTTAAATATTTTCAGTTGATCCAATAAGAAAAGAAATTTTGCTACATTGGAGAACTTTTTGTCACAAGCCTCACCTGGGCAGCATGAAGCTGTCCCCACAAGAAGCACCTGGGACAGGCACAGCTTGCAAGCAGGATGGCCAACTACATGTTTTCCACAGACATTTGCCTTGCACACTCCCAATACTGGACTCCCAGTAGCAGAGGGAGATTTAAAAGAGGCCTTCCCATGGAAACCCTTCTCAGGTTCTCCTCACACTGCTGTGTAGCTGTACTGTGGAACTTTCTGCATGTAACTAGTCACTGGCTGATTTTCTGAACAGTTTCCATAAAACAGAGAGTTTTATGGAAACAGCCTGGGTTTAGGACTGTGTTCCATTCTTTAATGTGGTCTATACCCTGCATTGAATTCCATGTTGTTTCATGAGTTCTGACAGTATGTTTTGTCTTTTTTTTTTTTTTTTTTTTTTTATTTTGCCATTAAACAGAAGGGTCATGTCTCCCACCCACAAATTAACCCAAGGCTAAAGGGCATAAGTGACCGTTTTGGCAGGAATTTGGACACCTTTGAACATGGTGGTGGCCACTCTTACAACCACAAACAGATTGAGGTATGAATGCTTCCGTTGGTGCTTCTTTGGGTGGGGGACTGGATGGTTCCAGCATATTTAGGCCTTTTGAAAAGTGGCAAGCAGACTGAATGCTAAAGCCAATCTCCTTTCTCCTAACCCAAAGCTCTTAAGCTAGGTTATATTCTGCCTTGTTGTGTGTATCTTCAAAGCTGTCTTTCCACACTCTTACCCATTCTCATGTATAATGTTGTATTATGCTTAACAATTACTTAAACTTTAAAGACCATTTCCATTTGACCTTGTACTCCCCCTTACCTTGATCATCTATAATTCTGATTTGCAGAGTTCTTGTAGCTGAGGGGCAGAGAGGTCTTGATAGCTCACCACAGCTGTGAAATACTCTGGGCGTTCAGATGACTACTCACCCACAGTTGCTAACTCCTCCTGAGCTGGGTTTCCTGATTTAGTTTTCACAGGCTGGAGTTGTGTGCCTGAGTCTGGCTGGCCCACAGGTTTATCAGGCCTCCTTTAAGTGTTTAACCATCCAGGAAAAACTCTTTTCAGTGTTGTGGGAAATTCCTGCTCCTTCTGTGTGTGCCAGGCCTTTTAGAAGATGAAGTCCCTCTCTGCAACAGGACCCTGGTCCTCCTCTCTGTGGTGTCAGACTGCACCCCTCTCCTGTGTCAATCATTAGTGTCCCTCTCTGGGACTGTCAGATATTAGAGGGTTGCCAGGTAGCTACTGATTTAAAAGAAAAAAAATATTAATTTTCTGAGTGAGACCAAATACCAAACTTTAAAATACAGTCCAGAGGGGAACCTTTACCCATTTCACTCCTCTAAAAAATTCTAATTTTATCTATACTCAGTCCTTTGGTCCTATCAGTGTAGACAAATCAGTTATCTATGACTTTTTGATACTGTCTCCCCTGTCCTTTTTCAATCCATCTATTTGGAAATGATGGTGAATGATGGGGTGATCACACCTGAGGAGGAGGAGGACAAGATAAAGGGACACCTTGAAGCAGCCTAAGGAAGAGCTGTAGCACTCTGTCACTTCCCTGCCTCTTGCTCTTTGATTGGGGCAGGAGACTGGGGGTTTCCACTATGACATGACTGGACACAGACCGGCACAATGCCTGTTGCCTTCTCTATAGCCAGGAGAGATTTCTTTCAAAGGCCTTTTTGTTGGATGTAGAAATGTCACCATGTTCATGGGCACTGTGAAAATCAGCTCAATCAGAAGGGGCTGAAGAGAGGTGTGGGGAGACGGCAGGCAGCCTTTCTGTGTGATGGTAGATAGAAGCAAACTGACCCGTTCAGGACACCCAGCCCAAGTTGCTATGAAGTGCCTGACTGGAACAGCAGGTGATCTTAGCTCATGCTCTTTGCCTTTGGTTCTCTGTAGGGATTATCATGTCTGTTCCTTCTTCTTTCTTTTAGTTAGATTCCACCAAATCTCTTATTTTACCTCAGGTTTCACACCCTGATATCCTCCCTCACAAGCCTGCTGCATCAGATCTGGCTTCTGAAGCCCATAGTGTAATATATAGGGGTGCTATAAGTCCCAGAGTCACAGAGGTACTGGCGTAGAGGCTAGGCAGATGCCACGTATATGCCACTTTAATTAGGCCAAATAGTAAACCCATCTTATGCAATTGCTTTTATAGCTTTGTAGTTTGAGTGTGTCTAGTCTGCGAGTATCCTGTGTTTTTAATTTATATTATGTTATTTTGCCTGTATTTTAAATTTTTATTTATTTAGTTAGAATTTTTATTATACTGAAACATCTTTATTATAATGAACTCATGAATTAAAATGTCACACAGCTGGTTTAAGGAAGCCATTCCCAAACTCCCTGCATGTTGGTGGACTTCTGTACGGTTATATTGGTCATTTGAACTTTGATTAGAGTTTTACACTTTCACTCTCAACTTATATAATTTTTACTTATTATTTATACAACATTCTGCCTGCACACCAGCTCTTCTTATAGATGGTTATGAGCCATCATGTGATTGCTGGAAATTGAACTCAGGACCTTTGGAAGAACAGCAACTGTTCTTAACCTCTGAGCCATCTCTCCAGTCCCTCTCAACTATATTTTTATGCACATGTCCACCACAAAAAATAAAAGAAGATAAAAGGAATTGAAGTGTCCTTTTTCACAACTCACACGTCCGTTTACCTGCAGCCTGTTTTTCCTTGTTACCTAATATTCCCCGCTCCTGATTTCCAAATGTTACACCATGTCCACCTTTACAATTGTCTACATGCAGAGGTATATGCATTTTAGGCTAGATCTGCATCCAATGGAAGGCATGTAGTTTTTCCTTTCTATTAAAATTTTTTTCTGCATGTCAACAAACCCTTAATTGTTTATTTCTGTGCTACACTGGTTACACTGGTACGAAAGGCAGGTTTCCAAGGTTTTGTGGCCTGAGCATGGCATATTTATTGGAACATCTTTAAATGACACAGTAGACACCTATATCTAAACTGCTGGACATTAATATTTAGAACAATATTAGAATCTTTAGAGAGAAAAAACTTAATAATAACTTGCTTTACTGCTGTTAAATCACCACCTCTTTAAGCTGGGGCTTCCTTCCTCTCTTTGGTAAGGTAAAATGTCATGGTTCTGTCAATAATTGGGATCATGATAAACTGTGACAGTGCCTGGCTTCCTTTACAAAGAGCTTTGTCTAGAAGGAGTACTCTATGACATACTGACCATTAACCAACACTTGCTTTCTCTACCTGTTTACTTTTCTTCAGAAGATGTAATTTTCAATGTTATATGTCTGCAAACATAGCAACATTAGTCATACCCTGAAGTCTGAAATTTTCCATCAATTAGAGAAAAGGTATTAAAAATTGAATGACCCTTTTGACATTAGCATATCCCAGTTTTGTCTTTAAATTAAGGAAGACACTGAAAGCTGTTCTGATCTAAGGCCTGGTTGTCTCTGCCTCAGGGGTACAATATCAGGAGAGAGGAGGCCAAAGGTGCTATTTTTAGTTAAACAGTTCAGCAGATGGAGGGACAAATACTCATATATCTGAGGGCTGAGGGGCTTGAACCATTAATTTTGATAATGTATTTAACCCTGGGAACAATCGGAAACTAACTCTAAGGTTACAATGCTTTTGACCTTTCCAGAACAGAGGGCACTTTCCACAGTAAACAATATATTATATTGCTACTTACTCCGGGGCTCTCACCGTATACATTTCTGGACCACTTGCCATTTGCTTTCTGTAGCTATGTTAGCACTGGTCCTTAAGTAAGTCAAAAAGAACGTTCAGGAAAGGGGACCAGAATAATGAGGCAGTCATGTAAATATGGCCTTTAAATAGATACAGTTTTAGATTCTGTCTAAAGAAACACTGTCTCAGAACCCGAGTTCTGAATCTTTCTTTTTTATTTGAAAGTATTTTCAATGTATTGACTCATTTTATAGGATTACTGTCAATGATAGATCCTGAAGTAATTTTGCTTTGTTTTCTTTTTAATTGGGAGCAATGTTGCCTCATAGTCGTAGCTTATATTAAACACAATCTGGTACCATATGCAAAGTGATACACCTGCCTTGTGCCTTCTTATTAAATGATGCATGCTTCTCTTCAGCAAATCCAGCAGTTAAATACCACACAGCTTAAGAATTTCTAATTAAAATATCTCCACATGTCAGCATATTGGTAATGTATTATTTTAATCCATTTATTTTGTTTATGAAACAGTGACATATGTTTAGATTGTGAAATATATGATCCTTAAAAATCGTTTTATTGAAGAAAATTAATTCCTACAGTACTGTGCGGGTAATGTGTTCACCCACCCAGTCACTGACAGCGCTGCCAGTCTTAATGTCAGTCGGCTCCGCAGCTTCGTCCATGCGCAGTCTTGAAGGAAGCCTCACAGTTCTTTTTCTTATCATTTCCTTTTATTTTTTTCCCCTTGCTTGTGAATTTAAACCTTCCTCTCCACATACACTCCTGAACACTTCTGCTACCCCTTTAAAAATACAATGAATGGTGGAAATGGATATTTATATGAAAGATTCTGAAAGACAAATCAAAATTAAAACCAGCTAGCTACCTTTTCAAAGTTAGACAGTAATTTGTTTGTCAGTGGGGAGATGTTTGGGTCAGCCCTGAGATAAAGTGACTGTCAGCAGTTATTCCTCCAAGACAAGTAATTTCCCTCAATGCATTGCTGACAGATTGCTCACTTCTCGGAATCACCAGAGAAAACAAACTTAATATTGTCACGGGCAGAGTTTCTGTCTTCATTAGCCCCTGAGAAGGATTTTCGAGCATTCAAAGCCCACTAATCTTTAGTCGGAACATTTTAACAGAGCAGTTCTTACAGTGGTAGCATGAGTAGTAGCCTGAATGAAGGGATTTGGGTGTGGAAATTTAAAAAATATCAATAGAATTGGGTTTTATATTATACTTGTTGGTTATTCTGTTTGGCTTAGAGAGAAAAGTCTTGCCAAGTTTACAAAGATGGAGGAGCACATTGAAGGTTTTGCTAAAATGAAAAGGAACAGATCTTTTATTTGAACAATATTGTCAAACTCAGTGCTTCGTGTGGAAAGAGAAGCTGTGCCCATTTGTATGGGGGAGGCTCCATTGCTAATTTAGCTCCAGCTTCATCTGTTGGCTGTTGTGTTTAGGGGCTCTGTAGCTGCTGGAACCCAGTGTTCTTTGTGACACTGTAAACATGCCTCATGCTGGGGATGCGGGTGGAAGGGCAAGTTAGCTTTGCTGGGTGGGCTTTCAAGATAATACAGAGTTGGTCAGAGACACAGAGCACTGCCCTCCCAGTACAGAAAAGGGAAGTTTTTCATTCGAAACTTGTCTTGAGACTATAATCTAGGGGTTGTGCTTTGAGGAGAAATGCTTGTCTTTTATTCATCAGCCTTCACTCATCCCCTCATCTCCTTTTCTTGAGTTTCAAGAGGTACTAAAAGTGAGAGGACCACAGCAGCTGGATCTGATGTGCCTTGAGCTAATGGGGTCAGACCCTGAGCT